TCCGATGATGCGCGACACGCCAATCTCTGGCACGGCTTCAGTTGGTCCGGAGACGGACTTCTGGCTTTCCGAAATGAAAAAATTGTTAAACGCTTCCGCCTTTTCTCCATCTGATCTAGCCACTGTTTCGTTCGCTGTAATAGGTGGAAGCTCCTTTTTCGGGGACGACCGCAGTGATTTCATTAACTTGTACAGGTTTCGCTGCGGGACACCAGTTACGTCGCCTTGCGCGGTAGTGGATACGAAGGCGGATTTAGCTTCTCTCAGTAGTGTTGTGGTCCTATTGCGTTGAGTAACGAATGTGAGCCAGTTCTCGGCGCTGCGAGTTCTGAGATACTGACGGTAGAGCTGATGCTTGAGTTTAATGCTGCAAAGAAGCGGTTGAGTCATCCATGGTCGCCGACCTGGGCATGTCTGGTGTGTACGTCGTGGTGCGAAGTTAGTACAGTACAAGTGTGCTGTGTTGATAAGCGAGTCATGCCAATGCGACCAGAGGTCTGTCATTGATAACTGCGGGATTTCCTCAGCTGGTGGCAAAAGCTGCATTGAGCTCAGGGCTTCTTTCAGTGCGACGACGCGATCAGGGTCCCAGTTCCAGCGCCAAGCTTCGACGTTTTGCTGGGGTGTTGGTGCTTGTGGTGGGCATGCAAGGGACACATTTCCTCCGACGAGTACATGATCTGACGCTCCGACAGGGGGATACGATGTGACAGATAGGTCTTCTTCTGGTACGTTGGAGATGACAACGTCGAGGCAGGACTTCAAGTTGCCTCTGGAAATACAGGTCGGAAAAGACACGTGCTGGTTTAATCCTGCAGTGTCTAGTAGGTAGCTCAGCAGGTCGCCAGCTCTATCAGTGATATCAGTGGAAAGCCATGAGGTGTGCTTTGCGTTCATATCTCCTACCAATAGAAACGGAGAGTTCATGTTGCAGAGACCTAGACAGGGCTCCAGTTGTTGGCAGAATGTGTACGGATCTGTGTTTGGAGGACGGTAGGAGCATCCGACTGTAAGTGATACATTCGGTAGGTCAAGTTCAAGCCAGAGTGATTCGAAGTTGCTCATCGTGATGTTTGTTTTGTGTTTGTGTGGGATGGATGAGTGAACATACACGGCGACTCCTCCGCCTCTACAGTGCTGCCGATCATGCCTATAAAGGGAGTAGTCGGGGAGTTCGTATAGAGAGTCTGGCTCTAGGGGGTTTGCCCAAGTTTCACATATGGCGATAAGACTGGGTCTCTTTTCTATGGCTACCTGCGCAATCTCGTCCATTTTGTTGAACAAGCTGCGAGCGTTGAAGCTCAGGAAATTGAACTTGCTTGTCCCGCAGAAAGAGCGATCGTATGAAATATGATCTGATTGCATAGCATTGTGGGGGAGAAAAGATTGTGCGTGAGGATTAAGCATGAGTATTGAAAGAAATGAAAGGACTAGCAAAGTAGTATAGTGACTTACTACTGGCATTGCGAGTCGATTCCTGTTGGCTTGTTCTTTTTCTTCGATTCGATGGAGAGGCCGCTAGCACCGTGATGCACTTCCTGGGGGCTGCTTTCTCTTCTTGCGATTCCGTGATCTCATGCCATTATCCTCAGGTCTGTCGGGGGTGACACTCGGGCGCAAACGCTTGGAGTTGCCCAAGTTGACTTCGCCTTCGCATGAATCTAAATTGCAGTCTTGAGCCGGTGGTCGGTGTTGATGGTGGACATTTGTGGTCTGGTTTGATGCTACTGCTTGCCCCAGCGGTTCATGATCTGAGTTGTTTGGCGTAGCACCAAAGTCTTCTGGCTCGGAGGAGTTTGACTGATGGTCATCGTCTGATTCGCTATCAGATTCCTTGCCTTGTTGGTTACCTTGTCGGTTGGCAACTATGTCTGAGAGAAGTACCTCCGCTCGCTCAGACTCGGTGGAGAGAAGGCTGGTGTTGTTTTTGGTTTTATGTTCGGAGGATGAGTCTACAGCTCTGTTGTTGGACGAAGTCTTGGTGGTTGATTTGCTTATTTGAGTCTTTTCCGGGCAGTCCTTGGCGATGTGCCCTGGCTTGTTGCATAGCCTGCATGTGGGTGTTTGATCAGCATGGTACACGCGGAAATTGCTCTTCCCGTCCCGTGATTTCACGTACGATGGTACGGTCTTGTTTGTGCCAAGTTTGAAGGTGGCAAACCTCACTCCTGTCGCAATGAAAACGCCATCCCGGATTTTGAGTCTGCCATGTCGTATGGCACCCTGCACCGTACCGTACTGGGAAAGTGCAGCTTCTACGGCTCCATCACTCACCCACACAGGAATGTCATGAATATGGAGCTGGACGTTGGGGGTACCCGCCAAACATTCCGGGGAAATATGCCGTTCATTGAGCACGAAGCCGTTCTTGGACACCAAAATGGCTAATGATGATTCCGTAAAGGTTATTCTGCACTGCCCGGAGGAGCTCACCTGTACAGACAGGATCGCCTCAGCCTCGATTCCATGCTTTTCCAGGCACTGCACGTAGGTGGCCAGCTTGATATCTTTGACTGCGGGAAATACCACTGTCCGGGCCATCAGTTCTCTGGCGCTCAGTCTTCTCCACGGATCCATGGGTGCTTCCATAGCTTCACTGACTTCACCACTGCTCCCAGCGGCCCCTGGAGAGGGGGTCCCGCTAGGCAGCATATCTAAAACAGATTTTGGGTCAGAGCTCGAAAAACCGCATCCGACTTCAAATTCAAAAAAAAAAAAACAAAAAAAAACAAAAAACAAAAAAAAACAAGACCAGTACCGGTGACCGGACCGGCAGTCATACATCTACGCGTTTCATGAACAGTCAGTCGCTGAGTAGTAGTACCGTACTGGCAATATATGTTGCCGCGTAACGCGTAACGCAGGGGGATGCGGCGTAACGCGCGACCAGGCTAGTGCGACAAATTTTCGTTGAGTTCGTAACGCGCGTCCGGCGGGGTGCGGCGATCTTTTCATTGCAGTTTGCACTGCAAAAAAAAAGGCTGAAAACTGTGAAAGTACGTGTACCGCGTGGTGAAAAGTAGTTTTTGGAGGAAGCGCTCTTCCCCTATGTCACTTTCCTTTTGATGATCTTTTTGTGAACAGATCACTCTGATAGTTAAAATATACAGTCTTCTATTGATATCGTTGTCGCCCTTTGGCGTCGGGTTTGTAACAGTTGGATAGCAACTGAATTTCTGTGCCTTCAATGTGGATGAAAAGAAAAAATGATGCGGCAAAAGTAAAAAAATGATGCGGCAATAGCAAAAAAGTGATGCGGCAATAGCAAAAAAAGGACTGCGGCAATATAGAAACCTGTGTAACGGCTCCTGTGCGACTTTGCATGTAACGCCCTGCGTGCGGCAAACATGTGCCAATGTAACGCTTCATGGCCTCACTGCGGCAACATATATTGCCAGTACGGTAGTACGTAGGTCTACCTGGTCACGTCACCTGGAAAACGAATTTGAGGGGATTCAAGGGACATTTCTATAAAATACAAAATTTGAGGGGATTTCAGGGAATTCCCGGGGAAGAAAACCTTTCAGTGTTGTCAAGGGTGCTACACACCCAGGATTGCATGCAGCGCATTCTGCACTGTCTCTGTATCCGGTGAAGGTTTCTGTGTAGAACTGTCCGTGCATGGAAAAACGGTCGTTAAAAGTACATGTAGGTGGTGGCTTACACCAGGTTTTACTCTACCACCGTATATGCCTGTGGTCGCATTTCTTTGGCGCTAACTGCACTTTGACATCATAGTCCCGTGGTGTACCTTGCACCCCTTCCCGGCACACACTCCCCCCCCCCCCCTTCATCTAGGTGAAGGACTTTTTACAATACTGTACACAAGTCTGTGGACAGCAACTGTTTCGCTCTGTTAGAGCTCATCAGCACAGCTCAGAGGACCGAAGCGCAGCTCTTCGTAATGAAATACGTTTCCGTGAAGCAAAGCACACACATACTGTACATGCGGCCGGACGTGCACTTTTAACTCAGGCACATGATAAGTCGCCAGTGCATTTTTTCGTCAGGGTGGCATACTTGTACGATACGTACAGTATCTAAACGTCGTACAGGTGGGCATGCGCGCGCCTACACACACACACACACACACACACACACACACACACACACACACACACACACACACACACCATGTACACCCCACGCAAATCTGCAAACGCACTGGATGTACACCCACAGATTTAGCAATGAGGACCAGATCTGAATGAACCAGATCAAGACTAGTGCCAGATACTGACCACTGCCTAATCCACACAGGTGGTGAAGTGATGAAGCCGTGTAAATAAATTGACCCACAATGCACACCAGGGGCATACATGTAGCTGGTCCCCCATTTTAGGGGGTGCACGTCCACATCTGTGTAGGTTGCCTGGTGCATGTCATTATGGTCAATATGTGCATACTGAACCTAGGTCGAATTTTTAGGGGGGGGGGGGGGGTGCACAGCCCCCCCCCCCCCCCATGCCAGATGCAGGCTACACAGAGTGGAGCACGTACCACATGCACACCACACATTAAGATGACATGCCATCAACTTGCAGACAGGTGCCAATCAAAGTAAAATACTGGAGACAGTGTTCAAACCCTCCAGGGCTGAACCAATAGTATTAGTAGGCAATACTGTGCACCAGCTCTAGACAAACATGTTTTCTATGCTAGACGATGGCCAACAGGCACTGTCAGTATTAGTTCAGCCTAGCTTGCTTTGTGTTCAGCCTAGCTTGCTCTGTGAGTAACGTATCACCTACAGTATCTTGTGGCCACGTTGAAACGGGCACTCCACACGTCACAAAAAACTGCCTCAGGGCATGTAACAGCCAGCTAGCTGCATACATGTAGGTCTCGTCCTGCTAGCACATGTACAAGACAACACCTCCCCCCCCCCCCCCCCCCCACTGTCTCTCTCTCTCACACACACACAAACAAGCATGCTGCATAGGCCACGGATGGCAGGCCGTTGTCACACACAAAAAGAAACCTGAAGACAGAAAGCTTACTTGTACGACGTAGATGCAGGGGAACAGAGGTGCTCCGCCGCCGATCGTCATTCCCAGTATTTCCTTCTCGGCCCTGTAGAAGGTGACTTCGAACGATTTTCCTGGGGCCGGCATGATCAGCTCCTATCCAAGTAGCCGACTGTTCGGGACTGATTTTAGCTTTGTCAAGCACAAATTTTCAAAAAAAAACTGTCCGAAGACTTGCAATGGCGAAGAAACTATTACATGTACTAGCAGTAGCACTGCCAGGAAAGCCGAGCCACTTGCTCTTCCAGCTACAACAGTCTTATTGTTGGAAAGTGACGGAACTTGTAGAACTTAGTAGAAGTTCAGTAGTCCGAGCCAGACAAAATCTCGTGCTCACAGCTGAGGTGTATCGTGGACAATATCCATACTGTCTTTTTCGAAAAAAAATAGTGGACCAAGCAAGCAAACGACGTACTCGAGATCTCGGCATGGGAGTCGAGTGTGAACCAGGGAGCCCTACAGAGCGATATTTTGAATCTGGCGCACGGACTGTACACATACGTACATACGTAGACTATGTGTAGGGCTCCCTGGTAGACCTACATGGACATGGTAGATCTACATGGTGTGAACCAGGTGAACACAATACACAGAACAGAACAGAGATGTACAGTGTCAGTTAGTTACGTCATATCGACAACCGGGTGTTACTAGTAACCACAATACACACGTCACACGTGCACGTGTCGCGTGTCGGTCAACTAACGTTACGTACTATCTCGTGTCGTGATGAGTTCGTGGACCGGACCAGGACCGGACTGTGCATAGGTATGTGCATATGTGTCACAGTGTGTGCCATTACATTATTATTATTATTATTTAAAAATTCGACGAGGAGACAATAATTTTAATATGGCAATAAGTAGGACGAGCTGAAGCGACATGTGGACTACTTTATTAACAATGTAAGCGATGGAGACGATGCAAGAAACAATCTAAAGGGTAAATAAAATACATGTAAGAAGAAAAAGGGCAATGGAAAAAAGATGATTCGAACAAGTTTTCGTACAACACTCTTCAGGAATCACCGTTGTACTAAAGAACAAAATGAGAACAAAGGAATTATAGCAATCAAGGTAGGGTGACACGATACAATGACAGCACTGGAATATCGAGGTGCGATTTCTCACAAAAGTGTGTAGAACACAAGGGTATACAAGTAAGAACTAAGCGTGACAAGTGTGTATCAGCAACAAAAACAAAAAAGTGAGAACGAATGATAATAATAACAATAATAAACAAGAAGGTGACAAAACACATTTAGGCACAAGTGGCAACAACGTTGCCACACTACACAAAAGAACATTATTTGAACAATTTTAGGGTAATAACACTATCTTTCTGGACACACAAATTCGGCTTATGAATGCGCTGACAAACAGCTTCCAAAACTTGTAACTGCAAAAGATAACCATGACGAGCACGGCACAAAACAGAAAAACAGGAATCAGAATAAGTACGACAACAGTCAGTACTAGAAACCAAATGATTGTATACTGAAGACTTATTACGAGACGGACGCACACAATCTCGACTCACGCGCACACCCTCACACTCACTCTCACCCTCACTCAGCTCACCTTCTCCCTCACTGTCCGAATCAGAACCTGCTCCGTCATCCACAGCGGTTCGACTCTCCTCCTCACTTGCATCGTCCTGCGTCTCACCTTCACCACCCACGCCAACCGTGAATGCCGTTGCCTTCATGTCAGTCGTCGTCCTTTCAGAGTGTTTCCTTTGTATTTTTACCGTGAATTCATAGGTCCGGTTGTAATCTGCTGTAGATCTCCGTGGTCTGTCATTTGCTGCTTTGTTTTGTGGATTAGTTGTTGTTGTTGTTGTTGAATGTGAACCTGGTGTTGTTGTTGGATGTGAAGCTGGTGTTGTTGTTGCAGCCACGGTTGTTGGTCTTTTTGTTGAATCCAGCTCTAGTTCCGGTGGGACAAATCGACCGCCGCGGGTGCTCTCCACCAACACATACCTCGAGGGAGGAGGGTCAGGGGGAGGCAGAGGTGCTGTCACCACTCGAGGCACAGCCCCATGCAAAGCACCCAGAGGCACAGACTTAGGCACACCCGAGGGCTGCACCAATGGCGGTTCCGCACGCACCTCCGAAGAGCTGCCAAGCTCAAGCCCGTCCAACACAGATGTCAGAGGGGGAGCGGCAGACAGCGGCAGGGAACTATCCTGCCGTGTAGGTGATGGGTTTTTTCTCCTAGGCCTCCCGCGTTTGGGCCTCTCAGATTGCGCACTGGGTGGAAGGATGTGAAGTGGAGTGTGTTGTTTGATACGTGCGTTCAGGTGCTGAACAGTCCTACCAACATACCGACTAGCACAATGTCGGCATTCGAAGTTGTAGATAACATGACTGAGGTGGAGGGTTGGTAGGACGTCCTTCCGCACCGTGAACGCACGCATTGTTGTGAAGACTGGCACAAAATGTACTGCATAATAAGTACGACGGACGATAGACTTGACTTCGCGACACACTTTGATCGATTCCTGCCCCTTCCATGGCAAACATAGATAGACGGGACAGCGAGGTGGACCAATCAGCACCGATTTCGGTTTCTGCTCTATGGACAGAAACTTACGCAACAAGAATTCCGGATAGCCATTCTTCAAGAAAACAGATCGAAGAAAATCGAACTCGGCCTGCAGCTTACTGGGCGAACAAATACGTTGCGCACGGTCCACGAGGTTACGAACTAAGTTGACCTTGTATTGAGACGAACAATATGAATCGAAGGCAATGTACTGACCAGTGAACGTAGGCTTACGATACACAGAAGTCAACATTTCACAGCCAGTCTTCTCTACAAGCACGTCTAGAAATGACAACTTACTAGACTGCTCGTGCTCACAAGTAAAGCGGAGGGAAGGATGTAGGCTGTTGAGCACATCGAGAAACAATTCACTGCTCTCAACACTGTCAAAATGCGTGAACGAATCGTCAACAAAACGCACGTAGAACGCGGGCCAAAGCGACTCATCAATCTTGCACTCACAATAACCAACGAATATATTGGCGAGGACGGGACCAAGAGGAGATCCCATCGCCACACCATCCACTTGCTTGTACATCACATCGTTGAACGAAAATTCGACACCAGTTGTAACTGACAGCATCAAATGACGAAACGCCGCTTCCGATACCCATGGAGTATCAACATCATCGTTACGGTACAATACATCCATACAGATGTCAACAGTCTCATCAATAGGAACATTCGTAAAGAGACTTACAACATCGAAGGAACACATGTGTGCATTGAGAGGGACCGGACTATCACGAAGCCTCGCAACAAAGTCGAAGCTATCCTTCACAGTGCGTTTGCAATAGTAATCTTGAACAGGCTGTAGGTAGATGCACAGCCATTTCGAGATAGAGTATTGAGGGGAGGCGGTCATGGATACTATTGGTCTAACAGGGCATGTAGGTTTATGGATTTTTGGAAGGCCATAGAGTCTAGGACGAAGGGTACCAGTCGGTTTGATGCGATCGAATTCATGTTTTGATATTTGTTCTTCATTCTTTAGCTTCTTAAGATAAGTTACTAGATCCTTTTCTACTTTTTCAGTTCGATCACAGGTCTTGACCGGACCAAGTGTACGGAACTTTGACGTGTCATTTAGGATAACGGACATCTTCTCGATGTAGTCAGTTTTATTCATTAAAACAGTTGCACGACCCTTATCAGGGCGCGTGACAATAATGTCTTTGTTATTCCGTAGCTCATGCAGGGCTTTGAGATGTTCGCGTTTCAATGAGAACGTTCTTCTATCCGGTAATGCATCAGCGTGTTCCTCGGCCTCTGCCCGGATCTTTGCGGCGCAAATGGACTGTTGTGACTCGGACACCGGTCTGAAGCGTAATAACTTGCGGTAAAAGAGCTCAAACTCGGTCATGATGACTTCCTTCTTGTTTGATTTTGGTGGAATCCCGAAATCGGTTCCACGACAAAGGAGTTCTTTCTGAAGAGTGGTCAGCTCTAGTGATGTCATGTTAATTATGGTGGTATCAGGATCGATAGTGACATGTCCATATCTTTTCTGTCTTAGCCAATTGTAGGTCTTGTCATGTTTTGTGATTAGATGGATACGTTGTTTCTGGTCATTTTCCGAAAGGAGCATAGAGAATCTCAAGAAATCGTGAGAGGAGAGAAAGCAGCGTGCATGATCATACAAATACCTAAACCGCGAACGTGACTTTGACAAAGTGTCGCAGGACCGGGCAATCTCGTCTTTCATGAATACGCGTTCGATGTTTAACGTGTGGTAAGCTTTGGTCCTGCGGACACGGTTCTCTACACCACCTGGACAAACACCATTGTCCAGACAACGTCTAAGGAACACTACGTTCAATGCAACACTACGATAATGAAATCGTGACTTCAGCGCATGGTTCAGAATATCTATCTGAGTCTGGCTATATCTCGACCTGAAGTATTTAAAAATTCGACGAGGAGACAATAATTTTAATATGGCAATAAGTAGGACGAGCTGAAGCGACATGTGGACTACTTTATTAACAATGTAAGCGATGGAGACGATGCAAGAAACAATCTAAAGGGTAAATAAAATACATGTAAGAAGAAAAAGGGCAATGGAAAAAAGATGATTCGAACAAGTTTTCGTACAACACTCTTCAGGAATCACCGTTGTACTAAAGAACAAAATGAGAACAAAGGAATTATAGCAATCAAGGTAGGGTGACACGATACAATGACAGCACTGGAATATCGAGGTGCGATTTCTCACAAAAGTGTGTAGAACACAAGGGTATACAAGTAAGAACTAAGCGTGACAAGTGTGTATCAGCAACAAAAACAAAAAAGTGAGAACGAATGATAATAATAACAATAATAAACAAGAAGGTGACAAAACACATTTAGGCACAAGTGGCAACAACGTTGCCACACTACACAAAAGAACATTATTTGAACAATTTTAGGGTAATAACACTATCTTTCTGGACACACAAATTCGGCTTATGAATGCGCTGACAAACAGCTTCCAAAACTTGTAACTGCAAAAGATAACCATGACGAGCACGGCACAAAACAGAAAAACAGGAATCAGAATAAGTACGACAACAGTCAGTACTAGAAACCAAATGATTGTATACTGAAGACTTATTACGAGACGGACGCACACAATCTCGACTCACGCGCACACCCTCACACTCACTCTCACCCTCACTCAGCTCACCTTCTCCCTCACTGTCCGAATCAGAACCTGCTCCGTCATCCACAGCGGTTCGACTCTCCTCCTCACTTGCATCGTCCTGCGTCTCACCTTCACCACCCACGCCAACCGTGAATGCCGTTGCCTTCATGTCAGTCGTCGTCCTTTCAGAGTGTTTCCTTTGTATTTTTACCGTGAATTCATAGGTCCGGTTGTAATCTGCTGTAGATCTCCGTGGTCTGTCATTTGCTGCTTTGTTTTGTGGATTAGTTGTT